AACAAATATTGTTATTGTTTCATGTTCCGGTTCAAAGACAAACACTTCTTAAGTTTCGCAGCATAATAACTAACTGGCAGCTGATTATGACTGATTAATCGACATTTGTCTGGCAATAAACGATACGATTCCTTGTATTTAACACAGCGTTGTAGTGCAGATTTCCAATGGGGTTTGATTATGGTTACGAATGTGGAGTCGTTGATTTTTTTTCTAAATACAAGTAGATTTCATCAAGACTTATATTAGAATATTCAAATTTACTTCCATAAGTCTCAACAAATATCTGATGATGAATTAACGAGTGTTCGTATCGAATTAAGTTGCCGCCATCTTGTTTACATTTGAGGCACCAAACACAAACATCTTGCGGCAAATGCGAAAACTTTAAGTCACATAATAAAAAAGTGTACTCTGCACAACTAAACTTATTTTTTCCAAACTGATGGGTTCTGATTTTAGCGACAATTAATTGTTTTTTCGCGACAGTCTCGTGCGATAACCAACTAAATATCAGGCAGGTTACATCAAAGTTTCTTGTCGTGTGTACACGACAACGGGGATGAGACGGCCCTTTATTTTGTCGTCTGTACACGACAACGGGGACCAGGATGACATATTGTTGTCGTGTGTACACGACAACGGTAAGGAAAGAGTTAAGTAACGTCACAGTTTTCTAGCGCTGTAATGTCAAAAACGTTCTACCGTTTTAAGATGACAACGTTATACCACTGTGACGTCACAACTTTCTACCAATGTAACGTCACAACGTTCTACCATTTCAACATCACACTAGAGTATCAGTTTAAGGTCACCTTCATAGTAAGGATTAAATAATGAGAAACATAGTCATGGTGTCATGGAATTCGAAAGAAACGGACCATATGCATCCGTTATAGATAAGTTAGTTGTTTGAGTGTCCATGATGAGGATGAAAATGACTTTCATGTTTACACACAATGACCGGCACATGCGCATGATGGACGATATAGTCACTAACACTGCCAAGAAACGTCCTTCGGATCTTCCCCTGACCACGTGATCCAATCACGATCATATTTGCACCAATTTCGTTACATTTATGTAGCAGCACATGTGCTGGATCTCCATGGATCCTGCTCATAGTGGCGTCCAGCTGTAACGTAAACAGGCACATGATATAAATGGGATATCACACTATCGTATGTACTTACGTATGATGAACGGAACACACACACAAACAATTTAAGCGATCATAAATCTTCTTTTATTTTAAATTTCTCCAAAACACATTTGTTACACGATAGTATAGCCATTAACGGGTAATTTCCGGTGCATTAAAAGGGTGCGTATACATTATTCAAAACGTTCGACCCAAAAGCCCATTATTCCAAAGTCTAGATTTTCCAAAAGCCCATTAATTTATCCCGAATGTCATTTATCTACATACAAGACGGTCCATGTATACACGTGCCTGGGTAGTGGAAATACAGTTTAAGACCACCTTCCGATTATCAGACCTTCTGACATTCTAGCCTTCGGATTACTGACCTTACAGTGTAAAATGTACATAATATTTGAATAGATGTGGTGTAGTTTTCTGTGGAGTATCCGGACTATCAGGTCCTAAGCTATGGAACCTTCTGATCAATCAACCTCCGGACTAGGGGGCTTTCGTAATATTTAATCTTTGCAACAGCGGGCAGACACTTTGACTAGTTTTCAGTAATCCGATACGCTCAATTCGAATTTTAATATGCATGCAGGATAACAAATTCCACTTAATGCGTTTTTATTATAAACTTACATGATAAACGTGAAGCTTCTATTTGATATGTTCCATGATGTCGGCGATCCGCTTCTCTTCGTCGGCTATGACAGACTGCAGAAGCCCAGGGTCTGCGGGGGCCATGGACATAGCTGATGGGCAAAGATCAACATTTGTGAAAGAGGGTCGTTAATAAAGAAATAAAAAGCCA